GTGGCATAAGCAAGGTCTATTTCCTAGATTCATAGACTTACTTTCCCTGTTATACAAATGTAAGCTCTCTTAATGCAGTCAACTGAGGAAACATTTTAAATACTATAAAATAAATTAAATTTATGTCATGGAGCCACAACCATCTTGACCTCTGAAACAATGAAGCCATTTTTTTAAAGTCAAGTTAAAAATCATCAGTTACAGGGGCGTGTGGGTAGCTCAGTCAGTAAGATTCCAACTCTTGATTTTGGCTCAGGTCATGATCTCATGGTTGGTGAGATCAAGCTCCATAAGAGGCTCTGCACTGACAGCATGGAGCCTGCTTGGGATTCTCTCTCACCCTCTCTCTCTGTCCCTTCTCACTCATGCACTCTCTCTCTCTCAAAAGAAATAAAATAAAAAATTTTTTAAATAATAATCATTTCCAGTGTAAATAAAGAGAGAACACTTAGAGCAAAATATATTTTCAAGAAAAGCCTTTGCCTTAATATTTTAAAGGACCCAGAAATAAAAATTTTTTAAAAATCAGTTGATTTTGAACTAAGAAAAATAACAGGATTGTAACAAGTGGTACAATTAAAAGAAGGTGTTTTTACAAAAAATTTTCTTTTTTAAAAAATAGGCTCCACACCCAATGTAGGGTTTGAACTCATGACCCTGAGATAAAAAGTCACATGCTCTGCTGACTGAACCAGCCAGACACCCCTAAAAGAAGTGTCTTTTATCCTTCTTGTTACATATATAAATGAATAACGTATAAATACACTCACATGTAATTGTACAACATAAGTATTATTAAAGTGTATAATACAGAAATACTCATTTTTTAGAGGCAAATATCTCACGGTGGTACCTTTAAAATACAGAATCTGGCTAATCAGCTTTGTTTCCCACTTTCTGAATCTATTATTAAATGCAGATTTTAAAAAATAATTAAAAGCCATAATATCCTTTACTCTGAAATTGTGTGGATCATAAAAATTAAATGTGATTTGATTAATATCAAACAACTTTACATTTCACATATAGTACAATACAACCTCTATTCTAAAATCTCAGAAAATTATTACAAGACAATGTTTAGCTTATTCCAAGACAAGTAATTTTAGTTGCTTTTAACCATTTTCCCCTATCATATGATTTCAGAGCTATTATGTTATTAGACTTGAATCCCCTGCACAGAAATATACATAACTAGATACTTAACGTATGTTTGAGATTTGTTGCCCTTTTCTGGAAGAGCTGATTATTTTCCATGAGGATGAAAAAGATGTTACATTGAAGTTTGTTACTTCAGATGACTAATAGATAAACTACTCAGGCAAGAAGAGTAAATGGAAATAATTGGGTGTTTCTTTCCTTAAAACTTAATCTTATAACTCCTCTATAGATAGTACCATCGGAGTGGAGATTGAAGCTCAACTTGTAACAGACTCTGAAACTCAGTTTGTGTGCTATTTTTATTCTCCAATTTATGTCTAAATATAATAAATAATTTAAGAGATTTACCATCACTTCCTTAATATAAGAAAGGGAGAATCTGAAGGAGTTTAATGGGGCAGTGTAGGCAGTAAACAGATGACACTGTGAAAATTAAGATTGCTGGAGCCATGGATTTAAAAGATTTATAAGTATTCTCTCTTCGCCAAATTTCCTAGCTATTTTTTTTTAATTCTACAACGCTAAAATTTTGGACCATGTTGGAGACTATAGACCAAAACTTCTCCATAATGATGCCAAAGAAATACAGAAGTGAACATTTCCAGATGTTCCCACAGGCAATTCCAATATCCAGGTATAAACTTCATTTACTATTTTTTTCAAGGGTGGACTTTTCCAATGGGAGAACACAATAACACAATTTGAATAAGTACCCATATTATCACCATTCTAGTTCACATAATGTATCTTTGCAAAAAGTCCTACGAAGTCATGACAAACACACTATAAGACAGGTTTTTGGTCCAGAAGCCATATGCTCAACTAGACTATGAGAAACCTTATTGCAGATAGGCCATATGCTTGACAAAGCCATGGATCACCAGCTGGGTCCTGCTTCCTCAAGGAAGCTCCAGCTGGGTGACAGTATGGCATCCATCCAAGAGCAATGGTTCCCTTTGGGCCACCAGAGAATCAAAAGAGTGTTAGGCCCCTTGTGGTTGAGTTGATCCATGCAGTCCCATGCAGTCATGTGTTATGAGAACATGTTGTGAATGGGCTCAGTCTGATACTTACCCCTACTTGTTCCTCAATGTCTTTTAAGCCCCCCTTCCCCACAGCCGATTGCAGATTGCAGGTCACTTTGATTTTACTTTGTTTTGATGATACAATATTCAGGTTCCACAATGATTAGGAATCCATTCTGTGCCTCTTTTGACCTGAGGTAATGTAAACCTATTTCCTTCCTAACTTTCTTAAAAGAGGCTTAATGGAATTTTGAATTTTTCCTATTGCAAAAATACTTAGGCTTTTGTCAAAAGAGATTTGAAATACCACATGAAATGATGTACTCACATCCCTCACCACCACCTCCAAATAACTGAATTACATAAATAAAACATTACATAGAAAGTGCTTTGCTACAATTTATGAGAGGTAAATTTAACAAGAACTGGCTCATTGTAGGAAAATTCAACTTATCTCTTCCTGATCTTTTTATTCTATACAGGGAAAGAAATTTATGTCAGCTTAAAAAAAATCTATTACTGCTTCTCATAACTGAATCCATTATTTTTCTCTATGATCCATCAGGCAAAAACAAGAATAATAGATTGCCTTGACAGAGCCTTGAACATAAATGTCTCTAAGAATCAAATGTGGTAAGTAAAATGGGTTTCAGGTGTTATTAAAACAAGAGAGGATAACCTTCTTTATATATTTCAAATTCACATCTTACTTAAAAATTTATTATTATTAGTGAATACAAAAAGACAAATTATATAGTAGTTGAATTTTCACAATTAAACTGTCTTTAAATAACATTGTCCTATACATAGTCAATTGATTTAGATAACGTGTTGATCTTAGCTTACAAATATTTTCTGTTTATAAAAAAGCCGAGAGTCTCTATTATTGTTAGCTCCACATGACCCATGTTTGTTTCAGAGAAGTTTTGGATGTATGTATATACACCTACTTACATCTCAGGGATTTTCTTCTTAATCAATACCTCCCCAGCATCTAATTTTATTCAGATAGGCTAACCTCTCAACTTGGTCACATTCTCAGCTTTAGTGGCACAACTTCTGCCAGGCCAATCACCACATAACATATACAGTAAGTCTATTATTCATCCAAGGATGGGCGTATGACCCCAATTTGCCTGAACATAAAAAGAATGATTTTTATGCATGCTAAAAATGCATAGAGAGGTAGTTCCCATTTTCTGGATGAGGGGGAAAGGGCAGGGAGCCCCAGCTGCCACTGAGCCATCTGTGACTATGAGAATGAGGACAACGCTGGTGACCGAGGAGAGGATGGAGAGAACATGGGTCTTGTCAACATCACTGAAGTGCTAATGGTCAAGTACCTAGAGCACTCACTACCTCCAGCCTTCCAGTTGGAGCTCACACATTTACTTAGTGCTTCATCCACTTCATGTTGGTTTCTTTAATGGTTTAAATATGCTCTACTTCTGTTTTAAAGATGAGAAAATACACCCCAAATCTGTTTCCTCATGGCTATCTCATTCACATTGCTTTATGGCAGAAGATCTTTGAATACCTACTTATTTTCAAACTACCTTTGAGAATTCTACCTCATCATTTAATGAAGCACAAAATTTGATACGCCCATTGCTGAAGAAGACAGTAGCATTCTTACAAAGGTTAATGCACATTTAAGATGAGTAAAAACCCTCTTGTCCTACCAGACAAAATTACAGTTTCATAACCAAGGTCAAACATTATTCCTAGCCTCGAGATCTAAAACCAAGCTTGACCTGTATTGTAGTCAGTTTAAAACACCAGTCTTGGGGAGCCTTTGTGGTTCAGTTGGTTAAGCATCCGACTTCAGCTCAGGTCATGATCTCACGGTTTGTGGGTTCGAGGCTTGTATCGGGCTCTGTGCTTACAGCTAACTCAGAGCCTGGAGCCTACTTCAGATTTTGTGTCTCCCTCTCTCTCTGACCCTCCCTTACTCACATGCGCTCTGTCTCTCTCTCTCTCTCTCTCTCAGAAATAAAGCATTAAAAATTATTTATTTCTCTCTCAGAAATAAATAAAGCATTAAAAAAAAAACAAAACAAAAAACTCCGGCCTATATGTCAAGGCCCATATTTTTAAATTCTTCAGAAACCCAAGCCGTAGCAATCCTACTGCTCTCTTCTCATTTTCTTAAACTATTTTAGACTTATTTCTCGATTTCGCGGGCTATTAGATGTTTCTCACATATTTTCATAGATAATAACTCATCCGCCGTGCAATCTGATTCTTAACATTAGGAGATTAAAACTAATGTAGATGATTCTCAGATGACACATACTGAGGTAAAGAAAAATCCCATGATTTCCTTCTACAAAATGAGGGAAATTTTAATTCTTTTTCTCAACAGCTGCTTCATTATTTTATGCATAGGAAAAAAATATGTGCAATTACTCCAAGTACAATCAAGTCATTTAACATGGCTTTCCCATCATTGTAGTTACAGGATATTTTAAAAGAGGAAAAAAAATCTCAAAGCACAGGTCCTGCTGTGCAGCAAAGCAATCAGATTCCTTCATAATAACAGCCTGATGGGATTTAGCAATCTGAGGAATAATGAATAACCACTTTAATCAGTAAACGGGAAAATGCTACAACAGTCACGGAGTAAAAACTGACTATCATCTGTTGATCCTCTTGATCAGTGATTCAAACAATAAATAGAAATGTAAGTATTTTTTAAAAAGAAAAATAACTGGATTTAGTGTTTGATTAGTTTGATTAGTATCGACAGTGTGGCCCAGTCGATAAAATGCACATATAATCTTTTTCATAATACATGGCCAAGTTGACCCTATCTCTTGAATATGTCAAGGTAAGCTCTTTTCACAGTTGATTAATAAGGTTTATTTCTGGGCTGATTATTGAACTTTTTTGCTACTTCATTATTTAGTGTTCTTCTTCAGTGTTCATCCTATGAAGTCATTTGCCTCTGAATAGGAAAATTCTGTCTCATAATAGTCTTCAAGTTTCCAGTGCAGCACGTCAAACGTTGGCCGTTTTTTAGGCTCTGCATTCCAGCACTCCATCATGATGTCGTAGAATTTCTGTGGACAGTCAGGTGGTTGAGGGAGTCTGTAGTTTTGACCCAACAACTGGATTACCTGAGCACCCGTCATGCCTAAATAATATAGAATGGAACAAAAAAAAAAAAAAGATCATGGTCTTAAATTCATAGATAATTATACTCAAGATTACAAAGCAAACTGATTTCCTTGGTGAGACTATGAGGTCTACCATCCCCTTCCCAGGCTGCAGAGATTAAACTAAATCTTGCAGCAAGTAATGTCTATAAGACTGCAATTTAAGAGCAAAGGATAAAGAGGCAATAAACCACCTTATTAATGCAAATCATCATCATCAAATTTTATCTATTATGCTCCCACAGGCACATGGTGTGGTTAGCCTCATAACTCTGCCCTCTAAGCCTGGGCAAAGCAGTTAAAGTCACACCTAAGTAAGTGACCTGCAGCAGAAAGGCCCACTTCAGAATTAATTACTCACCACTATAAGGTATTTTGCCATAAGTAATGATTTCATAAAGAAGGATTCCAAATGACCACACATCAGACTTAATGCTGAATTTATTACTACGAATGGCTTCAGGCGCAGTCCACTTCACTGGTAGCTTTATGTCATGTTTGGATTCATAGATGACTTCATTATCTACCTGCTAATGCATTAAGGAATCAAGCCATGTTCAAGTGATATATACATATTTTTTGGCTACTCTCATAATCTGTAACCTGCTTCACCTTAAAATTTAGAGGGAAAAGATTCAAAATGAGTTTAGGTCAATTGATAATTACAGTTGCAAACTCCAAATCTGGCTTATAAGACTGAGGATTCTATAGAAGTCATTAATGCAATATTATTCAAGAGCCTACTATATGCTAAAAATAGCATTGGCAGGAGCACTCTACTACATATGGGAGAATTCATGTGTGATGGTCTTTAGCATCTGGTCTTTAGCAAATAAACAACAACAACAACAACAACAACAACAATGAAAGCAAAGCCCGTCTGTTTTCAAACTTACTGCTGGTATTGAAGAGCCACTGACTTTAATAATTACCATATTACCACATCCTAATACTGAAAAGTCAGATCCAACTGATTTAAATTAATATATCAACTCACTGGGGATCTAATTAATTTATTAAGAAAAGAGACGATGAATTCATGAAAATCAAAAAGGAATCTCGTATATGTTATGTTTCATGTTTCACATCCATATTTTTAGGGCACAATGTAGAAATTAAAAATTAAGAGAAAAACACCTCATACTATATCTCTTATCTAAGTGGCCTGATGTCATGAATGGGGGGTGGGGTAGAATTTAAAAGCCAATGATCACTGAAGAATTCTGCCAGCATGAAATTTTAGTTGGCATAAAGTAATCAAAGATGGATGGGATAACTATAGAAAATGTGCTGCTTTTTGTAAGGAAAACAGGCAGACAACCAGAAGCTACTGGTACTGGAAAATGGATCATTAATTCAACCACACAGTTAATCACAAACTTTCCCATCTGGGTGGGCATCATTTTGTTTCTTTTTCCTTGGTGAAAAAATAAAAACAAGAGGGAGTTTATCTGTAAGGCCTTAAGCTACTGAAGTTTTCTGTGGACCACAGAACTTGGAGAAACATTATTTTGAAGAATAACAGCAAAATAACAGCAAATCTATTAGTCTACTGGTATGTTAGACTTCTAACCCATGACAACACCTAATTAAAACAAAACAAAATTCACCTTAAAAACCCTTGCAAGTCCAAAATCTGCAACTTTGTAGATGTTATGTTCACCAACAAGGACATTTCTGGCAGCCAGATCTCTGTGGATGTAGTTCTGGGACTCCAGATAAGCCATTCCAGAGGCAACCTGTGCTGCCATGTCTACCTGCTGGGTCAGGTGGATTTTTGTTCCAGCATCATCTGGTCAATAAGAGAAAGTCAATTACCTTGGAGAACATTTGAATTATTAAAGTGAATTCTGAGAATTATGATGAATGAGTTACCAGTGGGATTAAACACCATAGTACCGATCTGTTGAGCAAGAGACATAATATAAACCATTCATTTCCTGTGAAGGGCAACAATTTTCAGAGTCCAAATGCATTCCAAGGCTGTGGCCCTCCCTCCCCTAAAGGAACATTACACAGAGAAAGAAACAGCAGTATCACATGATTCAAACACAGCTATAAATATCTGAAAGAGTCCAGGTACTGTCATTTTCCATAGCATGCACCGCTGACTCATCTCTTCATGGAAATTGTTTACTTGGTTGCCTCTAGATTTCCTCCAAACATTGCACCATTTGTTTTAGTCCTTTAAGCTATAAAATAATACTAATTTGCATAGCTGAGCCAATGAAAATTTCTCATTCTTCCATCATATGATTCTTTTTTTTTTTTTAATGTTTTTATTTATTTCTAGGAGAGAGAGAGAGAGACAGTGTGAGCAGGGGAAGGTCAGAGAGAGAGGGAGTCACAGACTGAAACAGGCTCCAGGCTCTGAGCTGGCTGTCAGCACAGAGCCCGACGCAGGGCTCGAACCCACGAACCGCGAGATCATGACCTAAGCGAAAGTCGGACACTTAACCGACTAAGCCACCCAGGCGCCCCTTCCATCATATGATTCTTAAGAATTAGTTCACAAACAAAAATGAAATCTCTATCAATAGTTATGAAATGTGTATATTACATTTGTACTTCATTAAGCTTGCTGCACTTTTTTCAATTCCCTTTCTAAGCCTGTAATTCCTAGACATGGTTTGCTCATCTCTCCAGGCATGGACATGTCTTTAATAGACATAGTTTCTCCCACTCCTCATAATAGGAAAATTCTACAGTAGAGCCAGTTTGGTCATTAATAGATAGGTTAGTTTTATTCTGTGGGTACTTTGCGCAATGGGGTCAGCCTACTGGATACAGTCTAATAGATGGTTAGTAGATGTCTTCAGATTTCTGGAGAATGAGTATCATATAAATCCAAACTATCATCATCCCTAACTGAATAAGCCAAATATTACCAAAAGGGTGTTGGATTCATGGTCAAGAGTCTTAGACACAACTTCTGACTTGAGAGGCAACTATAGCTCAGGGGTTAGAAAACAGGCTTGAAGTTAGAGTACCATAATATGGATCAGGGCTTTGCCTCACATTTCTTCCTGATCTTAGCCAAGACACTTAATACTCTTGTGCTTCAGTTTTTCCATCTAGACAGTGGTAATTGTAATTACCTTATGGTATTAGTTGTTAAAATGAGTTATCACATGTAAAGCACTTAAAGCAGAGCCTGGAACCTAGAGAGAACTGAATAAACCTTACCTGTTTTTATTATCATTGCTGCTGCCTAAACAGAATTAAACAGTTTAGGCTTTGTTAAGGTAGAGATGCATATGGATTACTTAAATGGAAATGTCTAAATGAAGACATGCACATGGGTCTGGAGCTCAAGACAGAGCATGCAGCTAAAGATATCAACTTAACAATCACAGTTTATGAGTAGGAGTTAAACATTAAAAGTGGGTGAGATTGTTAGGAAGTGACAGAGTCATAAGAAACACCAACATTTAGGGTGTGCAGAGAAAGAAAAACCTGCAAGAAAACTAAGAGGAATCTGCTAGAAGAATGAAAGAAGAACCAGAAAGAACATCTAACAGTCCAAGGTTTTGAGAAAGTCACCACCATTGTCAAATTCCACAAGTCAGAAGATAAGAACTGAATAGCTTAGTGGCAGGAAGAACAGCTTCACTGGAAATGGGGTTCAAGGGGTTGAGGGCAGAACAGAAGCTGAAGACAAGGAGAGAACAGGAAGAGATATCAATTTCCAAACCTTGGTCAAGATAGGAAGACAACAAAGAGTTGGCAGTTGGCAGAGGAGAGTGTAAATCACTGGAAAGCAATTATCAAGAAGTTCATGACTGTGAGGGGCTGTCAATGATATGGAACTTAGGGGGTTTCTGGGGTGCTAGCCATGTTCTCATTCTTGATTTGTGCAGTGACTATACCATTATTTACTTGCTCACTTTTAAGTAATGATAAATTATGCTATATGATGTATGCTCTTTCTATAATGTATGCCATCTTTTCAACAGAAATGAAATAAATAGAGTTGAGGACATTTTTTAATGGTAAAGAGCTAAGCACAGTGTGTGTGTGCATATGTGTGTGCACACACATGTCTATTTATTTTTTAATGCAAGCAGTATATTTATTTATTCTTATTTTACTTTAGTTTTTAGAGAGAGAGAGAGAGCACACACTAGTGGGAGAGAGGGACAGAGGAAGACAGAGAGAGAATCTTAAGCAGTCTCCATGATCAGCATGGAGCCCAATGTGGGGCTCAATCCCAGGACCATGAGATCACGACCTGGGCTGAAAACAAGAGTCAGATGCTCAAATAACTAAGCCACCCAGGCACCCCTGCAAGCAGTGTATTTATATAGGATGTGTGGTGAAATTAACTTCTTCCTGATCCATTTGTCCTTTTCTTCCTGGGCAAACAAAGAGGACTACATTCCTGATCTTCCTTAGCAATTAAATTGGGTCATGTCACTAGTTCTGTGCACTGCAACGTGTGCAAGAGAGGATGTCTGTCACTTACAAACCTGATCCTTGAAGTCCCCCTCAGTTTTGTAGCTAGAAGAAATAAATTTTGAAATGGCAGAGCCATCTGATGAAAGGAGTCTAAATCCATACATCATCATTTAAGAATCACTCAGAAGAGCAGTCTGATGCATATCAAAAATATATATCTTTACAGCAACATGCAGAATGTACTGGACCACATTCCGATACCATGCACAAAAATAAACTCAAAATGGGTGAAAGAGCTAAATGTAAGACAGGAAGCCATCAAAATCCTAGAGGAGAGGGGCACCTGGGTGGTTACATCAGTTAAGAGTCCAACTTTAGTTCAGGTCATGATCTCACAGTTCATGGGTTCAACCTCTGCATCGGGCTCTGTGCTGACAGCTCAGAGCCTGGAGCTTGATTCAGATTCTGTGTCTCCCTCTCTCTCTCTGCCCCTCCCCCATACACACTCTGTCTCTGTCTCTGTCTCTCTCTCAAAAAAAATGAACATTAAAAAAAATTTTTTTTAATCCTAGAGGAGAAAACAGGCAACAACCTCTTTGACCTTGGCCACAGCAACTTCTTACTTGACATGTCTCCAGACGCAAGGGAAACAAAAGCAAAAATGAACTATTGGGATTTCATCAAGATCAAAATCTTCTACTACACAGCAAAGGAAACAATCAGCAAAACTAAAAGGCAACTGACAGAATGGGAGAAGATATTTGCAAATGACATATCAGATAAAGGACTAGTATCCGAAATCTATAAAGAACTTATCAAGCTCAACACCCAAAAAACAAATAGTGCAGTGGAAAAAAATGGGCAAAAGACATGAATAAACACTTTTCCAAAGATGTCCAGATGGCTAACAGACACATGAAAAGATGCTCAACATCACTCATCATCAGGGAAATACAAATCAAAACCACAATGAGACACCACCTCACACCTGTCAGAATGACTAACATTAACAACTCAAGAAACAGTGGATGTTGGTGAGGATGTGGAGAAAGAGGAACACTTTTGCACTGCTGGTGGGAATGCAAACTGGTACAGCCGCTCTGGAAAACAGTATAGAGGTTCCTCAAAAAATTAAAAATAAAACTACCCTACGACCCAGCAATTGCTCTACTGGGTATTTATCCAAAAGATAAATGTTTCAAAGACGCACATGTACCCCAATGTTTATAGCAGCACTATCGACAATAGCCAAAGTATGGAAAATGCTCAAATGTCCATCAACTGATAAATGGATAAAGAAGTTGTGATACATATGGGGTGCCTGGGTGGCTCAGTCGGTGAGGCGTCCAACTTCGGCTCAGGTCATGATCTCACAGTTCGTGGGTTCGAGCCATGCAATAGGCTCTGTGCTGACAGCTCAGGGCCTGGAGCCTGTTTCAGATTCTATGTCTCCCTCTCTCTCTGCTCCTCCCCTGTTCGTACTCTGTCTCCGTCTCAAAAATAAATAAATATTTTAAAACATTTTTTAATAAATAAATAAGAAGATATGGTATTTTATATATATATATAATGAAATATTACTTGGTGATCAAAAAGAATGAAATCTTGCCATTTGCAAAAACATGGATGGAACTAGAGTGTATTACACTAAACAAATCAGTCAGAGAAAGACAAATATCATATGATTTCACTCATATGTGGAATTTAAGAAACAAAACAGATGAACATGGGGGAAGGGAAGCAAAAATAAGATAAAAACAGAGAGGAAGACAAACCATAAAAGACTCTTAAATACAGAGAACAAACAGGGTTGCTGGAGGGGAGGTGGGTGAGAGGACAGGCTAAATGGGTGATGGACATTAAATAAGGCATTTTTTGGGATGAACACAGGGTGTTATACGTAAATGATGAAACCCTAGATTCTATTCCTGAAATCATTATTATACTATATGTTAACTAACTTGGATTTAAATTTTTTAAATGCATATTTTTGTTACATCACTAAATTTTTTGAACTGTATGTTACAGCAGCTAATGCTGATTCTTCAGTGTAAAATGAGATGTAAGCAAAAAGACAAAATATAACTTAGTGTGCAGCATTAACGGTAAAATATTGCTGCTGTGACAACCAAAGTCTCTATGCTTTTTGATATCAAACTAACTCAATATGAAAAGAAATGTGAAAAAGTCAAGATAAACTGGTGACTAGTTCTAGGCCAAGAGGCACACATTTATTTTTTATTATTTATTCTTTCTAAAATGGCTCCTAATATTTATTATTTCTAAAATGGCTCCTAATATTCTCTACCTCCTGGTATTTGTGCTCCTGTGACATTCGCTCCCATTAAGTGTGGTCTGGACTACTGACTCACTTTTAACAAATAAAATATGACC